TCTGGGCAGAAACGAATCGGATTATTTAGGTTAAGTTAGGTTTTTTTATACAAACGTGGAAGTCCCTCTGGGCAATGAGTGCTTTAATAAAAAATATTATTCTCATTTTAACAACGTGTTTTATTACAGAAAGCATTATTTTTATACATTTCCTAATACGATTTTGGAATTATATACAATTCCTAGGAATTGTACACATTTTCTAGGACATTTATGTAACAAATAGTTTTTGAAACAATATTTTATACATTTCCTAGATAGCTTCGGAATTGTATACATTTCCTAGTATTTGTATACAATTCCTAGATTTCATACATTTCCGGTAACATATACAATCCATTTTTAGTATTTCAGTAAAGTGCTTTAAGGTACGAGTTTGAGACAGTAAGGCGACGATTTGTTACTTTAGGGTTCTATTTGGTTTTGGGGACATTTGAACCGGCTTCAAAAAGAAGGAGGCTCTCAATTGAACTGTATTTTCTTTGTGTGTGCATGTTATGCACACACAAAGAAAATACTCTGGCATTTGTGAACCGATTTTGATGGTCCTTTTTTGTTTGACAGAGGGTACCTTCGTACTAGTCCCATTTAAATTTGAAGAGAATATTCCATCTCTAAGCGTGGCAAACTAGAGGACGAATCAGGTTTCGCGCACCTTCCATAAACCGATGTCAATAAAATTTGGCATATAGATGTAATTCTACGAACTTTTGCGGTCAACAATGCAGCATGTCAACAATTTGTCAACATAACTTGTCAATTCATCACTATTACTTCTACTTACGGGAAACCGAGCTCCACGAAGTTATTAAAGCATTGCTTGCCAATCATAATGATGGCCAATTGTATACACAATTCTGATAGGCAGCCGGCAGGATCACAAATGTCACCTTTTAATTTGAAAAACTCTGATTTTCTCGCTTGATCATCACCCGGATAATCGTAGAAACGGCCCTGAAACAAAAACGATGGCTGGATAACCTAAAATGCATTACAAACTTAAGATCTACATCATCGCCTTTATGTCGAATATACGATTTTATGTCAAATGTTGTGTTGAAAGAGAGGATATGAATACAACTGTAAAATATTTGGTCGCATTACACTCTGCTGCTACAATGAAATATAATATTTAATAACAGAGTGTATAGTGTAAAAATTTTATGTTTTTTAATAAATGAGACATAACTTAATTCCGTCTTCCCCTTTCCATCATAATGGGATCAAAGGGTCTGGTGTTCTATCCCTATGTTGTTGATATCTTATCCATATAATTAGGTATTACCTCAGAAAAGAATGACGTAACGCAAGAAAATCTTACCTTAAAAAAAGCTATGTAAATAAGGGACGAGTAAAAGTTCATGAACTCAAAAAAGAATATCTTGAACGTGTAGGAATCTTCATATTCGGTTTGTGTTCTTGGATTTTCCATGTTCGTTAACGTTACCGCCACTTTGGCGTATATCTGAAAAAGAAAATTAAAAATGTATATGTCGAACACAGGCCAAATCATAACAATGGACAGCCACCTTTAAAAACCTAGGTGGCTCAACGGTTTGTGAGAAGATAAATGAGAGGCTGGAGAAAGACGTTCAGTAAGTCTATCTCGGACATATTCTATTCTTTGGCAAAGAATATCAGCCTAAGATCTCAAAAAGAATCCAACTTAAATGGGCTGCGTTTGGCAAGTTACATGACATCCTTAAATCAGATAAGGTTCCACAGTGTCTGAAAACCCGCTTGTTTAATCAATATGTTTTGCCCACCATGACTTATGGTGCCGAGATATGGGCGTTCATAGAGGAGACCGAATACAGGATGAGAGTTGCACATAGGGACATGGAGCGCACCATGACGTCCGACGAAAGGTCAAGATGCTGGAACACAAATCATGGAACTCAAATATGTACACGTAGCAAGGCAAGGTGATTGATGACATGGTGGAGGAAGACATCGACTGATTAATGACTGAGGATGGGCAATAGAAGCGTCGGGCGCCCAGTTGCAAGGTGGGTCGACGACATAGTACGCGTAGCGGATGCGACTAGCACAGGACCGTGATGAATGGCTCAAACTTCGGGAGGCGTATACCCTGCAGTGGGTGAGATCAGGCTGTGGATGGTGAACATGAGGAATTCCGGGCCGTGTCGTAGAGTCAATTCCGTTGCTCGGGTACTCTTAGCACAAGCATTTCCCTGGTTGGTTGTTGTGGAGGTCTGGCACATTTATTGTTATATTAAATTTGAATTTCCCACCATGCAATAGACGATGTTTTATTCGATTTTAATATCAAGACTATTTTATTTACCTCGACGTTTCGGACGTAATGCAACGTCCATAGTCTCGAAGGGACTTGAGTCTCGAGTCCGTTAGAGTTCGACACTACAGACGTTTGCAACCCGTAGTTGAAACTTTTTAAAAGATTTTAAAAACAGATGACCTTTTTTTGTTATATATGTTACGCGATTATTTCGACATTTGTGAACCGATTTCGATTTTTTTAAATTGGGAACGAGGTACAGTGAAGAGCACGTCAAGCTTGACACTTTGTACTTTGGACCGTTCTTATCGTACGCAGCATAAAGTTGGATTTAAATCTGAAGTGTCAAGCTTGACATGCTCTTGATCCTGTACCTCGACAATGGTCCCATTCAAATTTTGAAGAACATTTTCCACCTTTAAGAGAGGCAAATAGAGAATGAACCCGGTTTATTGAATTTTACCCACCTTCCGTTAATCGATTTCAATAACAGTTAGGATACAGATAGTCTGAATGTCGAGTCTCTTCGAAACCATGGACACATCTAAAACGTCGAGGTAAATAAAATAAGTTATACACACGATGAAGTCTTGATTTTAAAATCAAGATTATACAAATAATTCCGGATTTTAAAATCAAATAAGTAATATGTCAAACTAAAATGTAACCGACTAAAATATATAAAAAAAATAAGCACCAGGGCTAGAAAAAAGGGGACAAATAGTTGATAATATTCCTTGTACTACGCAGGGCGAAGTGGTTGCCAATCAATGTATCTTCCATGAAATTAATGCGAGCATACTACACATAGCTGTATGTAAGAGCTGAAAAGAACTGGCTCATGATAATGAATAAAAGAAACTTACCCTGGTAAGAATCATTATGATAATCAAGTTGATCAAGGCAGCCGTCATTGAAGTAAAGATTTTTGCGTGTCGTTTTAAAAAGAACCCACTGCCTCCGTAGATGACTGACACCATAGATATTCTGTATATGATAGTGCCTAACACGGCCCCCATTACTATTGTTATCTGTAACAAAACCACGAATCTGTGGAGACTTTAACAAAAAGACGAGATTTTTTTTTTGTGTGCGTTACGTGATTTCTGCAACATTTTGTGATTATTGTTTTTTTTCATAGGGTGTACTTTAGTACTGATACCACATGTGTTTTCCACCTCTTCGGAACTGATACGAATCGAAGATAGTGCGCAAATCCTTTCACCCACTTTCCGTCAACAGAATTGAATAAAACTGGGCAATAGGGCAGCTGATGTGCTGATGAAAATGGCAGGCAATGAGGCGGCCGGAGGAGCATTTTTGGTGCAAAGTATTACTTATCATTTATAATCTTATCTTCTAATGAATAACGTTCAAATTAATTTGAAGTGATAGAATGTACCTATAGTGCGGCCGCGCGAGATATCTAGCAGCTAGTTCAAAGAGGCACCGCGCTAAACTCCTACGGCCGCTGCGCTCTTCTTCTCTTTCAGTGTAACTTGATCCTTAACACTATACAGCAGGCCAAAACGTGTCCAAATGTGACCAAACACACGGATATTTGGGCACATGTGATTCATCTTAATTGCGTACGCGTCTGAACGGTTACCATGCTGGACTGCCGTGCAAAGGTCCCTAGTTCGATTTCCGGGTCGGAATTCTCTCGTGGGTTTGGGTGTAATTTGGGGTTGTCTATGTGTGTATCCATGCCACGTTTCAATAGTGCTGGACTAAGTGTGTGCGTTATTTTCACGAGGATTTCCATATTTCAGTTATCGTTGAGGAGACCACGGTGACGAACGCAGCAAAACGGATACCTAAGCAAGCTTTTAAGCTTGTTTCATCAAAAAAAGTAATTCTTAATAGTAGACGTTGTTGTCAAAAATAAGGATAATTAATAGACTCAGGCGTTACTTTGCGGAAGTCATCGAGTATATAACCAGAAATAGAGACGAAATGTCATTTAATTTGTTTGAAAACTATTCTGCCATATCATTACTGTAAC